AAAGAGGGACTCCTTCCTAACTCATTTCATGAGGCCAGCATCATCCTGATACCAAAACCTGGCAGAGACACACACAAAAAAATAAAATTTCAGAGCAATATCCCTGATGAACATTGATGTGAAAATCCTCAATAAAATACTGATAAACCAAATCCAGCAGCACATCAAAAACCTTATTCAACATAATCAAGTCAGCTTCATCCCTGGAATGCAAAGCTGGTTCAACATATGCAAATCAATAAATATAATCCATCACATAAACAGAACCAATGACAAAAACCACATGATTATCTCAATAGATGCAGAAAAGGCCTTTGATAAAATTCAATACCCCTTCATGCTAAAAATACTCAATAAACTAGGTATTGATGAATCATATTTCAAAATAATAAGAGCTATTTATGCAAACCCATAGCCTATATCATACTGAATGGGCAAAAGCTGGAAGCATTCCCTTTGAAAACTGGCACAAGATAAGGATGCCCTCTCCCACCACTCCTATTCAACATAGTATTAGAAAACCCCATTGTCAAAAAAAATAAAAGAAAAAAAAAAGAGAAAACCCCATTGTCTCAGCCCAAAATCTCCTTAAGCTGATAAGCAGCTTCTGCAAAGTCTCAGGATACAAAATAAATGTGCAAAAATTACAAGTATTCCTATACCCCAATAACAGACAGAGAGCCAAACCATGAATGAACTCCCATTCACAATTCCTGCAAAGAGAATAAAATACCTAAAAATACAACTTACAAGGGACGTGAAGGACCTTTTCAAGGAGAACTGCAAACCACTGCTCAAGGAAACAAGAGAGGACACAAACAAATGGAAAAACATTCCATTGCACATGGATAGAAAGAATCAATATCATTAAAATGGCCATACTGCCCAAAGTAATTTATAGATTCAATGCTATTCCCATCAAGCTACCATTAACTTTCTTCACAGAATTAGAAAAAACTACTTTAGATTTCATATGGAAACAAAAAAAGAGCACACATCATCAAGACAATCCTAAGCAAAAAGGACAAAGCTGGAGGCACCATGCTACCTGACTTCAAATTATATTACAAGGTTACAGTAACCAAAACAGCATGGCGCTGGCACCAAAACAGATATAGAGACTAATGGAACAGAACAGAGGCCTCAGAAATAACACCACACATCTACAACCACCTGATCTCTGACAAACCTGACAAAAGCAACCAAGGGGAAAAGGATTCCCTATTTAATAAATGGTGTTGGGAAAACTGGCTAGTCAGATGCAGAAAACTGAAACTGGACCCCTTCCTTACACCTTGTACAAAAATTAACTCAAGATGGATTAAAGACTAAATGTAAGACCTAAAGCCATAAAATCCCTAGCAGAAAACCCAGGCAGTATCATTCAGGACATAGGCACGGGCAATGACTAAAACACCAAAAGTGATTGCAACGAAAGTCAAAGTTGACAAATGGGATCTAATTTAACTAAAGAGCTTCTGCACAGCAGAAGAAACTATCATTAGAGTGAACAGGCAACCTACAGAATAGGAGAAAATTTTTGCAATCTATCCATCTGACAAAGGTCTAATAGCTACACTCTACAAGGAACTTAAACAAATTTACCAAAAAAAAAACCCCATCAAAAAGTGGGGAAAGAATATGAACAGACACTTCTCAAAGGAAAACATTTATGTGGCCAACGAACGTATTTTAAAAACCTCATTGTCATTGATCATTAGAGAAGTGAAACAAAACCACAACGAGATACCATCTCATGCCAGCTGAATGGTGATCTTTAAAAAGTCAAGAAACAACAGATGCTGGAGAGGACGTGAACTAGGAACACTTTTACATTGTTGGTGGGACTGTAAATTAGTTCAACCATTGTGGAAACAGCGTGGGGATTCCTCAAGGATATAGAACCAGAAATAGTATTTGACCCAGCAATCCCATTACTGGGTATATACCCAAAAGATTATATATAAAGACATATACACACACGTATGTTTATTGCAGGACTATTTACAATAGCAAGGACTTGGAACCAACCCAAATGCCCATCAGGGATAGACTGGATAAAGAAAATGTGGCACATATACACCATGGAATACTATGCAACCATAAAAAAAAATGAGTTCATGTCTTTGCAGGGACATGGATGAAGCTGGAAATCATCATTCTCAGCAAACTATCACGGGAACAGAAAACCAAACACTGCATGTTTTCACCCATAAGTGGGAGTTGAACAGTGAGAACATGTGGACACAGGGAGAGGAACATCACACACCAGGGCTTGTCAGGGAGTGGGGGCAAGGGGAGGGACAGTGTTAGGAGAAATACCTAATGTATGTGGGGCTTAAAACCTAAATAATGGGTTGATGGGTGCAGCAAACAACCATGGCACATGTATGCCTATGTAACAAACTTGCACATTCTGCACATGTATCCCAAGACTTGAGGTATAATAAATAAATAAATAAAAACATATGCTACCTCTCTCTGGAGAGGGTCATGCTCTCTGTCCCAACAATACCAGGCTTGGCCATGTGACTGCTTCAGCCAATGAAAGGTGAGCAGAAACGATGCATGTCACTTCTGAGCAGAAGCTTGGAGAGACAGCATGTGGTCTGCCATATTCTTTCTGTCTCTGCTGTGAGATTGGAGCCATTTCATATAGAGGCTGCTCCATCGTCCTGGTTCTGGAGTGGACACATGCGGGGCAGGACTGCAGTTGACCTGTGAGGGCTGTGGGACATGTAATGGGAGCAAGAAATAGACCTTTGCTGTTGTAAGTCCCAGAAACTGTGAGGCCATTTGTCATTGCAGCCCGCCATTGCACCTGACCTACACTAGCCCAGGGACAGAGGAGGGAGCAAGCAGCCACTCTGCAGCAGCCAGTGTGGGGGATATGGAGATGAGGTTTGGGGTCAGAAGGCAGGGAGGTCCGGGGTGGTGGGTGTGTCTAAAGGAAGTGGGGAGAAGATGGGCTGAGGCAAATTTTGCTAGTTTTTCAACTTTGCCCCAGACCTTCTCCTAAATTGCCTACTGACTAAAGGAAGCAATTTAGGTTGAAGCTCATTGTCCCTTTTATTCTTATTTTTTAAAGTTTGCTCAACTTTAATCAGTCACCTAGCAGTGTATGTGTTTGTTTACCTTTTGTTTACTCATTTCTTTCTTTTTTTTTTTTTTTTTTGACATGGAGTCTCACTCTGTCACTGCCCAGGCTGGAGTGCAATGGGGCCATCTCTGCTCACTGCAACTTCTGCCTCCTGGGTTCAAGCAATTCTCCTACCTCAGCCACCTGAGGCATGCACCACCATGGCCAGCTAATTTTTTGGTGTATTTTTAGTAGAGATGGAGTTTCACATGTTGGCCAGGTTGGTCTTGAACTCCTGACCTCAAGTGATCCACCCTCCTCTGCCTCCCAAAGTGCTAGGATTACAGGCATGAGCCACTACACCTGCCCTTGTTCTCTCATTTCTAAGACAATAGTCTCCCCAGTTAATTTTTCTCCCCATATCAAATGGTGCTTGCCCTGAGCTAACTGGTAGGTCTTTCTAGGGAAGCCCTGGGGATTTACTGAGAAAATACTCCTGAGTATAGGGGCTCACAGGTGTGTGAGTGGCTACCTCTCCTGAGTGGTGTCAGCTGGGCACCTCAGCTGTGCCTTTCCGGAGGGGCCTATGGTAACCAATTCCACAGTCATTCAGAAAGTAGGATGGGCATGGTGGCTCAAGCCTGTAATCCTAGCACTTTGGGAGGCTGAGGCAGGCAGATCATGAGGTCAAGAGATTGAGACCATCCTGGCCAACGTGGTAAAACCCCATCTCTACTAAAAATACAAAAAAAATTAGCTGGGCTTGGTGGTGTGCGCCTGTAGTCCCAGCTACTGGAGAGGGTGAGACAGGAGAATTGCTTGAACCTGGGAGGTGGAGGTTGCAGTGACCGGAGATTGTGCCACTGCACTCCAGCCTGCAGCCTGGTGACAGAGTGAGACTCTGTCTCAAAAAAAAAAAAAAAAAAAAAGAGTAAAGGAAACCAGGGAGCAAACACATTTGACTTTATCAACCTAACAAGGATCAGACAGTAGCTGAGAACTAGCAGGATGGGAAATGAAAATAAGATCACATGGCCCAACAGTGTCTTTCACTTTAATTCTGCACGATGGGAATGAAAGGAGCTGCAATCCCAGGCCAGTGGGCCATGGGGCATGGCAGGGAAAGCTGCTGTCAGGCCATCGGGGTTTCAGGGCCTCCCTATTCCCTGAGACACAAGAGTATTGAAATGAGGCTAATTAAAAACCCTACAATGAACTCTCAATGTTCAGGTGAAAAGAAGAGTTGCATACCTCTCACTTGAAATCAAAAGCTAGAAATGATTAAACTTAGTGAGGAAGCATGTCGAAAGCTGAGACAGGCCAAAAACTCTCTCTTTTCACCACAGTTAACCAACTTGTGAATGCAAAGGAAAAGTTCTCGAAGGAAATTAAAAGCACTACTCCAGCGAAACATGATAGATAAGAAAGTGAAACAGCCTTATGGCCGACAAGCAGAAAAATTTAATGATCTGAATAGATCAAACCAGCCGCAGCATTCCTAATCCAGAGCAAGAGCCTAACTCTTTCATTCCACGAAGGCTAGGAGAGAAATGCGGAAGGTGAAGCGAGGATGCTAGCAGGGGTTGGTTCATGAGGTTGAAGGGAAGAAGTTGTCTCCGTAACATAATCATAAAAGTGCAAGGTGGAAGCAGCAAGTGCTGATGGGAAAGCTGAGTCCAGGAGATTCAGCTAAGATGATTCAGGAAGGTGACTACACTAAACAACAGGTTTTCATCGCAGATGAAACTGCCTTTTATTGGAAGAAGATGCCATCTAGGGCTTTCATAGCTAGACAGGAGAAGTCAATGCCTGCCTTCAAAGCTTCAGAGGACAGGCTGAATCCCTTGTTAGGAGCTAATGCAGCTGGTGAATTTAAGTTGAAGGCAATGTGCATTTCCATTCCAAGAATCCTAGGGCCCTGAAAAATTATGCTAAATCTTTTTTTCTTTTTTTGAGACTGAGTCTCGCTCTGTCACCTAGGCTGGAGTGCAGTGGCACAATCTTGGCTCACTGCAACTTTTGCCTCCCGGGTTCAAGCAATTCTCCTGCCTCAGCCTCCTGAGTAGCTGGGATTACAGGCACCCGCCACCATGCCCAGCTAATTTTTTTTTTGTATTTTTAGTAGAGACAAGGTTTTGCCATGTTGACCAGGCTATCTCGAACTCCTGACCTCAGGTGATGCACCCACCTGGGCCTCCTAAATTGCTGGGATTAGAGGCGTGAGCCACTGCATCCAGCAAATTATGCTAAATCTATCCTCCCTGTGCTCTACAAATGGAACAAAAGAGCCTGGATGCCAGCACATCTGTTTACAACATGGTTTATTAGATACTTTAAGTCCACTGTTGAGACCTACTGCTCATAATAAAAGATTTCTTTGAAAATATTACTGCTTATTGACAAGGCACCTACCTGGTAACCCAAGAACTCTGATAGAGATGTACAAGATTAATGTTGTCTTCACACCTGCTGACACAATACCCATTCTGCAGCCTATGGATCAAAGAGTATTTTGACTTTCAAGTCTAATTATTTAAGAAATACAATTTGTAAGGTTATATAGTTGTCATAGACAGTAAGTCCTCTGATGGATCTCTGCAAAGTAAATTGGAAAACTTCTAAAAAGAATTCACCATTTCAGATGCCATGAGGAACATTCACGATTTATGGGAGGGGGGCAAAATATCAGAATTAACAGGTTGGAAGACGTTGATGTGAACCCTTATGGATGACTTTGAGGGGTTCATGACTTCTGTGGAAGATGTCACTGCAGATGTGGTGAAAACAGCCAGAGAACTAGAATTAGGAGTGGAGCCTGAAGATGACTGAATTGCTGTAATCTCATGAACAAACTTGGGCAGATGAGGAGTTGCTTCTTACAGATAAGCAAAAACAGTGATTTCTTGAGATGAAATCTAATGAAGGTGCTATGAACACTGTTGAAATGACAAGAGAAGATTTAGAATATTGCATAAACTTAGTTGATAAAGTAGCATGAGGGTTTGAGAGGATCGAATCCAGTTTTGAAAGAAATTCTACTCTGGGTAAACTGCGATCAAACAGCATCGTCTGTTAAAGAGAAATCTTTCATGAAAGAAAGAGTCCATTGATGTGACGAATCCATTGTTGTCTTATTTTAAGAAATCGCCAAGGGCTGGGTGTGGTGGCTCACGCCTGTAATCCCAGCACTTTGGGAGGCCGAGATGGGCAGATCACCTGAGGTCAGGAGTTCGAGACAGCCTGGTCAACATGGAGAAACCCCGTCTCTACTAAAAATACAAAATTAGCCAGGCGTGGTGGCTCATGCCTATAATCCCAGCTACTTGGGAGGCTGAGGCAGGAGAATCGCTTGAACCCGGGAGGCAGAGGTTGTACTGAGCCAAGATCACGCCACTGCACTCTAGCCTGGGCAGCAAGAGTGAGACTCCATCTCAAAAGAAAAAGAAAAGAAAAAGAAATTGCCAGAGCCGGAGGTTGTGGTGAGCCAAGATCGCGCCAATGCACTCGAGCCTGGGCAACAAGAGTGAAACTCCATCTTAAAAGAAAAAAGAAAAGACAGTAGCTTATGTTCATGCCAAGCACCTCTCATCACAGTCCAGTTCCAAGGAAAAGTTCCAGCATTTTCTACATTGGCTGCCACCTTGTCGGAAATCAGCACATTCCATGGAGGAAGGAGTCCTGCTTTGTTGCATCTTCTATCCTGGGGCTTTATGTTGATAAATGAGTAATTCTAGCATTTGTACAATGCTCCCTAAGACTTCTGCAGCAGTCAACCAAGCGCAGGCAGGTAACTGAATCTGGAGATTCCTGGGGCCTTGTTGTGAAAAAGACTTGAAATACACATAAGAAGAAAGGCACAAAAATAAATGTTCACTTGTAAAAAATGAAAGATAGGAAGAAAAAGAGGAAGGAAGGAAAAGGAAGAAAGGAAAGGGAAGGAAGGAAGGAAAAGAAAGAAAAAGAGAAAGAAAAGAAAAAAGAAAGAAAGGAAAGAAAAAGAAAAGGAAGGAAGGAAGGAAAAGAAAGAAGAAAAAGAGAAAGAAAGAAAAAAGAAAGCAAGAAAAGAGAAAGAAAGAAAAGAAGAGAAAGAAATTGCCCTAGCCTTCAGCAACCACCACCTGCATCACCAGGCAGTCATCAACATCAAGGAAAGATCATCAACCAGCAAAAAGATTACAACAATTTAGACAGACCCATGAATGTAACACATCTTGGGAATGTGGGATGAAGCTGGAAAACTCAGAGAAAACCATGCAGACATGGGGAGAATGTGCAAATGCCACAGAGACAGTAGTAGCCCAGACTACTGCAATCGGTGGAGGCTCAGATGATTGTTAGCATTTTTCATCAACAAGGTATTTTTAACTAAGGTGTGTACATGCTTCTTAAAGACATAATGCTATTGCACACTTCACAGACAACAATATAGTGAAAATGTAACTTTTATATGCACCGAGGGAAGCAAAATAATCCATGTGACTTGCTTTACTGCTGTGGTGTGGAACTGAAGCTGCAGTATCCCATAGGTGTGTCTGTACCTACTCTGTAGGATTAATGTGAGGAACATAGGAGGTGGCACATTTAAATGGCCCAGTACAGTGCCTAGTGTGTAGCTGGCCCTGGGTGAACATTCAATCCTATCCCTTTTTCACTCACTGAGTCTCATGGATGGATTGCAGGAAGGATAGTGGTGATGGGGCAAAGGAGAGGAGTAGAGAATTCGGTCCCAAAATCAATCATCCAGCCATTAGGTGAAAGTGCTTGATTCTCCCACGATCTGCAGAAGGCAGCTGCCATGGGCAAGAGGCCAATCAGGGGCGCTTTCAGCCTCTCAAAATGTTATACATTCCTCTCTGCTGGGCACGGCCCTGCAGTGCCTCAGCAACTCCTTGCCACTCCAACTTCCCAGAAGGTCAGTTCATGTTCCCCTACACATCTCCAGAGGCAGAGGTGAAACTTCTCAACTCAGAGGCCTGTCTCAGAGGTGGCCTCGCCCCTTGGACTCCAGTGCTCTTCAACAGTCGAGTGGCTACCACAGTGTGTGTTTTCAGGGGATGATTCCTATTTCTCCAACAAACCACCTTCCGGCCAACTGTGAACAGAGCAAGGAGCCACCCTACAGGATTCCTCTCTGCCTCATAGTTCAGCCCAAATGTTCAACTGAAAGCAAGTTAAGGGCATTCACAGGGTTTTTTGTGCAATCGCCTTGACCTCAGCCTGTAAAGACCATTAACTAACCAAGATCAGAGCCTCCAGAAGAGCAGGTGGGTCAAGCATGGGAGCCTGACCATTCCTTTCAAATGAATTTTCATTCCTAAGGAGCAGTTGGCCGACTTGCCCAGTGGACCTTGACATGTCTTGCCACTTCCACATACCCTGCCTGAGGGTTCTGTTTAGCTTCTGTAATTTACTCTTCGGTTAGGGAAGCTGTCACTCACCACTTCATGCTTAGTCCAAGCACCACGGTGAACTGACTCCACCCTCCACTTCTGGATGACATATGACTTGGGAGTGGTCAGCTAGAACATTCCATTCCCTTGGTTGTGGCAACTGGACACATTGCTCAGAAAGCCAGCAAAGCCATCAAGTTGCAATAAAGTTTTTGCTGGGACTGCTAAGAATAAGGCAAGTCCATGATAATGAACTTGACCCTGGGAGAAGGTAAGCATGAAGCTGCTCAGTACCACCGTATGGAGAGGTGAAGGTGGCATTAACACAGAGGAGAGAAGAGCAGAACAGAGAAGACAGGACAGCTGATGGCACTGTGTGAGTTCCTAGATCAAACCTTGCCTGATGGATGCCTTGCATGCATTGCTACCTAAGCCAATCCATTCTCTTTCTGATGGAGGTCAATTTGAGTTGGTTCCATGTCTTAAAAAAGAAATCGTTCTCTCCAATACATCTTCTGTCCCTTTGGCTGTCTTAACTTTGCACTGTGGACAGGGTTATCTGGTTAGACTCAGCCTTCATGGGTCTCTGACTCAGGACCCCACCTCCCTCCCAGCTTCTCTCCTCAAACTCTTAGAACACTGATTTCGGGCTTCTGGTTGGAAGTCAGGCTTTGATTCCAGGAGCTCCAAAGCCTCCCCAAGTCAGGCAGCTGCAAAACGTCTTTATTCACTGCTAGATGCCCACCACTGTGGAAGCTCTGTCCATTCTGTCTTAGCTTTTCCAGCCTAGGCAGTCAAGACTCTGATCCCAGGGGCTTAGAAACAGTAGGAAGTCATTACTGTTCACAGAAGAGAAAGTGGGTGAAAGCCAGTTTCTCCACCACCACCTCCCAGCAGCCTAGAGCATCAGAGCTCCTGCCTCTGAGACACCTTGGGAAAGCCCCATGAGATTGTATGTGATCCTCTTGTGCTATTCCAAGGTCCAGCCAAGTGGACACAAATCACCCACAGTCTGGATCAATCTGGAGAGTTGGAGAGTCTGAACTGCCCCTTAGGGAGGCTGAGAATAGTCCTTACCTGTGATTAACTCCCACAAATGGCCACTGAAGATTGTCAGCCTCCCAGGTTTTCCCAATAGAGGCCAAAGACAGAGCGCCCACTCCCACCTGCAAAGCTGTCTTCTCTATGGCGTCCTCTGGAGATTGTGTGGTTCTAGAACGTAGATCAGAAAGGCGACAGCAATCTCCATCTGCTCCCTAGCCTCACTATGCACCACCTAAATCAGCAACAGAGAGTCCTGTGGGAGGCCGGATGACCGTGGAATCCACACTGCAGCCCCAGCAGAGAAGAAAGATGGTCACAGTCCCTTTATAAAATGGGTTAACATATTCAGAATTCTCGTGGAGCTGGGGAAGTACAAGAATTTCATGTCAAGGGTGTTGAGCACTCCGTGGAAACCATCCTCCACATGGTGCCAGGTCACAGGCACTCCCAGGTCTTCCAGCCTCTTCTTGTACAACAGTGAACTGTCCCGGAGGATGTCATACTCACAGCTCACAATGCAAGCTTCTGGGAGCTGAGACACTATGTCATCTTCTGCAATCAGGGGCGAGCACATCACATCCAGGACAACACTTAGTTCCAAGTAAGCAGCTTCATTCACGGGCTCGTGGGGCTTCTGTCGGTAGCCCCTCTTAAACCTCTCCGGGATGTTTTCTGGGCCCAACCACTTTCTGTACTTTTCCCAGACTTTGGTAGGCAAATGGGCGCCTTTCATGATGACCTCGTGCCAGGAGGGGCTGATATCCAGAAAGTGATAAAAACAGTAGGAGGTGAAGCTCCAGTTAAGCATCGGGATGTTCTTTCTCTGTTGAAAGGAAGGGGTTTGAATATCTAGGACTTGGAATGTGGCATAGATCAGGATCTGAGCCCGGATCCGGGGCAGATCTGGCGTGTTCACAAGTTTTTGACAAACCACTGTGGCTATTTCCCCTCCCAAACTGTCACCACAGACCACAACCCGGGCTGGATCCACTCCATATGCATGTAGGGACTTCAGGAAGTGGATGGTGGCCACCAAGCAGTCTCTTATTGGCACTGGAAACTTATATTTGGGTAACTTGCGGTAACTAAAAAGGAATCAAGAAACACAGTTGATACTCAATGCCCCAGCAGATCCAAAAATATCAGCACCTAGCGTCTTTTAGGCCAAATTAGTCCATTCACTTCCCTTTCTGAAACTCGAGCAGCTAAAGTTAGGTGTGAGGCTTAAATAAGATGAGACACATACAGCCTACACACCCTGGCAGGTGCCATTCCTATTGTCTCAATGCCCTAATGGGGAACCTGTGTCACAAGACTTCCACCAATTGGCCAACAATGTAAATATCACCAACTCGAGCCCCATCTTTCTGAACCTACCTCATGTTGCTTCCCTCATTCTTGTATAAGCATATTCAAGGCTTGTGTTTTTAATTAATCATGCCATACCCACAGATTTTGTTGGGGGGATCTTGTAGACCTAAATACAGCAAGTCAGCCAGGCCAGTGGCTCACACCTTTAATTTCAGCACTTTGGGAGGCCGAGGTGGGCGGATCACTTGAGTTCAAGAGTTCAAGTTCAGCCTGGGCAACATGGTGAAACCCCATCTCTACAAAGAACACAAAATACTAGCTGGGTGTGGTGGTGGATGCCTGTAGTCCCAGCTACTCAGGAGGCTGAGGCAGGCGGATTGCTTAGGCCTGGGAGGTCGAGGCTGCAGTGAGCTGTGATCATGCCACTGCATTCCAGCCTTGGCAACAGAGTGAGACCCTGTCTCAAAGAATAAAAAAAAAAGTAGGCCCTTAAATAATGTCATTTCATTCAACGTTGTTTCATGATATTGATGAAAGAAAGAAAAAGGATTCCAGCCTGGGCTACTACTGTTTGCGTGGAGTTTGCACATTCTCCCCATGTCATGCAGGTTTTCTCCAGACCCTTCAGTTTCCTCCCACGTCCCAAAGATGTCTATGTTACATTCATGAGCGTCTCTAAATTGCCCCGGTCCAAGTGAATGTGGGTGCACGCGTGGGTGTGCCCTGCAATAGGAGGGTGTCCCTCCAGGGTTGGTTCCTGCCTTGTTCCCTGAGCTGCAGGGATAGGCTCCAGCCAGCCCGGCCCTCAACTGGAATAAGGGAGTTGGAAAATGAATAGATGAAGGAAGACAAATTATTGCAAAATAAAAATGCATAAAGTTGGCCGGGCACGGTGGCTTGAGCCTGTAATCCCAGCACTTTGGGAGGCCAAGGTGGGCGAATCATGAGGTCAGGAGTTCACGACCAGCCTGACTAACATGGCAAAACCCTGTCTCTACTAAAATTACAAAATTAGCTGGGTGTGGTGGTGCGTGCCATAGTCCCGGCTACTTGGGAGGCTGAGGCAGGAGAATCACTTGAACCCGGGAGGCAGAGGTTGCAGTGAGCCAAGATCATGCCACCACACTCCAGCCTGGGCAACAGAATGAGACTCCACCACCCCCCTCCACCAAAAAAAAAAACCAAAGAGAAAGATACACTCTATGGGACCAACAAATATTCCATCAGCCATTTCCATTCCATACCCCCATTTCAGGCCACCTGGCAATAGGTATTCCTGGAGAGCAATACCCTTAACTCCAAAATCCTGTCTACCTTGGATTTAGAAAATAACTTTCTGGCAGAGACTTGCTGGCATGTTTTACTGATGATCTCCTGGTTTGGCACAACCAGAATGATAAGGTGTCTAGCAACATCTCACGGTAGAAACTCCTTGGGAGCTGAGAACTATAAAGTCAGGGTGTAGCCAGGTCTCTCATCTCATCTCTTCACTTTTCTTCTTGAGATGGAGTCTCATGCTGTCACCTAGGTTGCTGGAGTCCAGTGGCACCATTTTGGCTCTGCAACTTCTGCCTCCCGGGTTCAAACGATTCTCCTACCTCAGCCTCCTGAGTAGCCAGGATTACAGGCACATGCCACCGTAGAGACAGGGTTTCGCCATGTTGGCCCGGCTGGCCTCAAACTCCTGGCATCTAGTGATCCACCCACCTTGGCCTCCAAAAGTGTTGGGATTACAGGTGTGAGCCACTGCACCAGCTTCATCTCTTCATTTTTCACTCTCCTCAGATAGCTGTGCCAAAAGAAAGCTAGGAGATGTGTCCCAACCGAGATGCAGACAACTGATATTTCTTTTCTTTTTTTTTTTTTTTTGAGACAGAGTCCCACTCTCTCCCAGGCTGGAAAGCAATGTCACAATCTTGGCTTACCGCAACCTCCGACTCTCAGGTTTAAGCAATTCTCTTGCCTCAGCCTCCCAAGTAGCTGGGATTACAGGCGACCGCCACAACGCACAGCTGATTTTTTAATTTTTATTTTTAGTAGAGATAGGATTTCTCCTTGTTGGCCAGGCTGATCTCAAACTCCGGACCACAGGTGATCCACCTGCCTTAGCCTCCCAAAGTGCTGGGATTACAGACGTGAGCCACCGCACCCAGCTAGAACAGATATTTCTTTAGAATGTGTACCTTTAAATGAAACAAAAGGGAAACTTATCAGGAGGAAGCACCTGCGTGATGCTGCATCAGGCAGCAGGACAGGGGCCCAGCGCCCACCATGCCCTCTTTGAGGCTCCAGGAGGGGTGGGTGACTGTCAGAGACCCGTTAGGACAGACAATGGGTTTGTTTTTGTTTTTCTCACTTTCTCTAATGGGTCTCAGCCAGGGGGACCTCCGTTTTGGGAATACTTGGAAGTGGATGTGGCAGCATTTGGGGTTGAGTGATGGTGTGGGGTACCACTGGCATTTAGCAAAGGGAGGGGCAAGGCTGTTTTACTCAAGGAAGAGCTGTGCCACCCAAGTGTTCCTGCAGTGAAACTCCGCACCTGATCTGCTTAAAAAAGGCCCCCTCCTTCCTACCCAGCTTCCAAATGCACAAAACGCCTCTCTTCAAACAAACTCAAGGCCCACATGCACAGAGGAAGGGGTTCCCATTGTCTGTCTCTCCTTCTCTCTTCATCTCTCCTTATTTTCTCTCACTTCTTTTTCTTTTTTTTGTTGTGTTTTGTTCGTTTTAAGACAGGTTCCTGTCTGTCACCCAGGCTGAGTGTCATGGCACAATCAGGTTCTCTCACTGCAACCTCCCAGATTCAGGTGCTTCTCCCACTTCAGCCTCCCAAGTAGCTGGGACTACTGGCATATGCCACCACACCTGGCTGATTTTTGTATTTTTTGTAAAAATGAAGTCTCACTATGTTGCCCAGGCTGGTCTGAACTCCTGGGCTCAAGCATTCCACCCACTGTGGCCTCCCAAAGTGCTGGGATTACAGGTGTGAGCCACCGCACCCAGCCACCTCTCTTTCTCTCTTCACTGGCTTCTCTCAGCCCATCCCCTCCTCTGGACTTCCTCCAGCTCCCATCTGCTCCCACCCCTCACCCCCATTTCTATTTCCCACCCCATCTCTCCAAATCAGAGCCTTGCTCCCTGCTGGCTCCCTGGCATCTATCTCCCCTTTACTCACCCAACTGCCAGAACCACGGAGTCACTCTCCTTGCACAAATGAGAGCATATGCCATGGTGGGTTTCTAGAAAATAAATGGTGTTGACATTCACTAGGAAGGCTTCCTTTGCCAGCCACTGTCACTGTCTTCTTCCTACGCACACGGCACTTGGGCTGACGCTGACTAGGTTTTCCTCGACTCCAGCAGACTTCCGGTCAACCTTCTCACTGCCTCTCCTCCATGGTACTGCCTGAGCAACTTTCTCTAAGATGCCCACCCTCTGATCCATCCTACAAGTCACTAACAATATCTCCAAAGCTGTTTGACTGTAGAGTGTGGTGGTTTAGGGTGTGAGCTCTGGATTCAGACAGACTGGAGTTCGAACCTCAGCTTTGCCTCCTTCTAGCTGAAGCTAACATAGTGCCTCGCAATTTCCTGGTCTGTGAGCTGGGATGATGATAATATCTAACTCACAGAGTGCTGGAGTTGGAATGAGATCATCCACATATAGGGTTCCCACAGTGCCTGCATGTAATTAGTCATATGAATAAATATTAGCTGTTACCATCATTCTCCTACAGACCAAACCAACATCTCCATTGCATTAAACCCCTTATTCTCAAAGGCTGCCACACTGGGACCCTGGCATTTGACAGATTAGCAAGCACGGCTGAAAGCAAATCAAAGTGTCCCCCCACCCTAATTCCCCAGGGGTAACAATTAAGATAGTAAAATTGTCACAATAGTGACTTTTTCCTCTCATTGATTTTCCTCAAATCTTCCTGTTTTTCTGTACCAGAATTTCTCTTAGAAGACCTGATGTGAAACAAAATGCTGTGTTTTAATTCTTTTCATTTAAGATGTCCTTATCTCCAACTAAATAGCGGTGGTAATGATAAGGTAGTGATATATACATATATATAGTATATACATATGTACACATATAAATGCAGGTAGGGGTACGTTTTAGGATCATTACCTTACAGTTTCCTTCCTCATATTACAGTATTGTTAATTCCACTAAGGATTACATTTATTTAAATAAGGAGATGTATAAGCGGGAAAGATATTCCATATTTTTCCCCTGAATGACCAGCAAACTATGAACTGCCCTGGTGTTCCCTGGTCATGATAGCAAGCATTATGTCCCAGGAAGATCCCATTCTTTCAAGTTATGTTAAGGGATGCCATCACCCTTTGGGAGGCCTGAGAAAAGGGTTCTTACTCAAGCTCCCGATGGCACCCCCGCCACCATGGTAGTACACAATACCAGGCTTCAGGGTGCAGCTGGATGCCTTGGGCTGGTACAGCTTCACAGGGATTGTCCCAAAGCGTAAATCTGTAACCACAACGTCAGGATCGTACTTCAGCAGCTGCAGATCTTGCATGAAACAGACAAATTGGGGCATAGGACAGATTCTGAGCTTCTCAAAAATCATCCCCTGTTGGAGAAAGAAGAAGAAATGAGTTGAGATGGGTTTCTGCATAGGCCGTCTGGAGCCTGGCCCTCAGACCTGCCCTTCACAAGTGGCAAAAGGAGTTTGAGGAAACAGCAGTTGGACTGGACACAGCAACCCCTCCATGCTCTCAGGACACCTGCAGGAAAATTCACTCCCATGCAGGCCCATGTGGCCACAGCACCAGCCAGCCCTGCTCAACGCACTCTCCTGACGCCTTACACTGCCACCACTGCAAGCCAGGCTTCTGGGCACCCCTGATGGTCCCTCTACCTGCAACACCCCCTCCACCACGAGGCCCTGCTCCACCTCGCCCTGGGCGCCACACGTTTCCAGGGAGGCCTTCCTGTGCTGTCCCAGCCAATCAGGCCACCCCAAGTATGTGCAGCTAACTACAGTGTGGGTATGTTTGTTAAAAACAGGAAGAGGGGGAGGTTATATCTTTTGAAAATACCCACTGAAGAATTTGAGGATAAAATAATACGATGTCCAAGATTGGCTTCTTAAATAAATGAAAATGAGGGGAAAGTTAGGGACACAGGGAGGGGAGATGGGCCAGGAGTCATCGATGGCAGTGCTGGAGGGTGGGCACTCTGTTCCGGTTTGGTATATGTCAAAGTTTGCACAAAGAGTTAAAAATACAGCCAGGAGCAGTGGCTCATGCCTGTAATCCCAACACTTTGGGAGGCCAAGGTGGGTGGATCACTTGAGGTCAGGAGTTTGAGACCACCTGGCCAACATGGTGAAACCCCGTCTCTACTAAAAATACAAAAACTAGCTAGGCATGGTAGCAGACACCTGTAATCCCAGCTACTTGAGAGGCTGGGGCAGGAGAATCTTTTTTTTTTTTTCCAAGATGGAGTTTCGCTGTTATTACCGACTGGAGTGCAATGGCACGATCTCAGCTCACTGCACCCTCCGCCTTCTGGGTTCAAGCAATTCTCCTGCCTCAGCCTCCCGAGTAGCTGGGACTACAGGCACGCACCACCATGCCTAGCTAATTTTTGTATTTTTAGTAGAGACAGGGTTTCACCTTGTTGACCAGGATGGTCTCGATCTCTTGACCTTGTGATCCACCTGCCTCGGCCTCCCAAAATGCTGGGAGTATAGGCTTGAGCCACCGTGCCCGGCCAAGAGAATCTCTTGAACCCGGGAGGCGGAGGTTGCAGTAAGCTGACATCGCACCACTGCACTCCAGCCTGGGCAACAAGAGCAAAACTCCAGGTCAAAAAAAAAAAAAGAAGAGTTAAAAATATGCAAATAAAGCAGTCTGTCTCTCTGAGTAGCCTTCCAGTGTTTCATAATCCTTTTCTGTGTCACAGCCATTTTGACCATGGGTGAAGGGCCTCATTTCAGAGCTCTTTTTTTTTTTGGAGCAGTGGAGGCCCCACTGTGTTGCCCAAGCTGGTCTCAAACTTTTGGACTCAAACGATTCTCCTGTTTCAGCCTCCCAAAGTGCTTGGATTACAGGTGTGAGCCACTACACCCAGCCCAGAACACTTTTAAATACATAAAATAAATATGTGGGATTATAAAGGAAAGCAGTTTTGAGTATACTTATCAAAATATTAAAGTGTATGATGTAATAATATAGGTGTTCCCTATTAGCACATCGAGCAATAAGATCTAGCATCCTAGTTTCAAATGAAAGAGGAGAATACATGAGTTTTCACAATATCTAATAGGCTATGCAAATAGCTCTGATTCCTCGTGACGAAGTCGAGGTCTGGCTTTCAGGACTGTGGTTTGTTACCTTCAGTCCTCCTGGAAGGAATTTCCATTGGAGGTCAGCCGTGAAAATGGGGTAATTTTGACCTCATCCAAATCCACAAGCCCCTTGTATTCCGTGACCCAGGGGGACTTAGGGAGCCCTAGGTGAGAAGCCCTGCTGGGCTCACCTGATGGGTTTGGCTGTCCTTCTGGCGTTCTCCACTTTGGGAAGCTGTTTATCTGTAGCTTGCTGGCTTGTGGACAATTGCTCCTTTATGGACCCATTCCCCGCCCCCACGGCCTACAGCCTACAAGCTCCCTAAAGGCAGACTTGGGGGGATGTTATCTCTCTCACCTGTCATTGACCCTGGAGCCCAGAATTGGTGCAGGACGCAATGAGTCAACAGAGAGTAACAATGGCTGGTATTTACAGAGGGCTCCCTCTGTGCCAGGCAGCGCCCTCCCGAGAGGGTGATTGACAGAGTCCCCACGAAATGCTGTGAAGTAGGGGCAATTCCCCCCACTTTGCAAAGGAGGAAATCGAATCACTGTATTTGGGACCCTGGACTACAGAATATGAGCATCAAGGCCAGGAACACCTGGAAGCCAATCACTGCATCTGGTAAAAGCTGACTCTGGAGATCAGAAACCTTGGGCTCCCGGGCTCTTCTCTTTTAGATCATAGCTACATTCTTTTTATTATTATTATTATTGTACTTTAAGTTCTCAGGTACATGTGCAGATCTTGCAGGATTATTCCATAGGTACACACATGCCATGGTGGTTTGCTGCCTCCATCCCCCGGTCAGCTACATCAGGCATTTCTCCGAATCTTATCCCTCCCCAACCTCCCCATCCCGTGCTGTCCCTCCCCTAGCCCCCCATCCCCCAACAGACCCCACATTCTTTTGAATAGTGTAGAAGAGACATCTAAGGTGTCGCTGGAAAAGAGGCCCTGGCAATTGCTTTTCATTATGTAAGAAACTTACAAGAACTATTTTGTATGTTCAATTTCGGTCAACCCTCTGAAAAAGTACAAGAAATCCATATTGGCAATGCCTACACAGTTCCATTTACAGGTATTTTAACAAAGCACAGCAGGAGCAGCATCAAATTCTATTACCGAGGCAGCTTTCTATATCGCAAAAGCAACAACATATTTTTAAAGCCATAATCTGTAGTTTTGCTCACTGGCACTAATTTACTCATCTGCTACCCATTTATTTTGTGGCTTGCTGGCTCTAGCTAGCAGGTAAATAGCAACTGGGGCTCAGAGATTCAGGAAAATTAATTCCTAGCTTCACAGCTTCTGAGAGTGGTAAGTGCTGTTAATAATATAGACACATTTATTACCACTAAACTATACACTTAAAAATAGCAAAAATGGTACATTTTATATGAATGTTTTACCTCAGTTTAAAAAATAAACCAACACAAAAAAGAAAGTCAGGCTGGAAGAGGTGGCTCACGCCTGTAATCCCAGCACTTTAGGAGGCCGAGGCAGGTGCATCACCTGAGGCCAGGAAGTTCGAGACAAGACTGACCAACATGGAGAAATCCCATGTCTATTTAAAAATAGAAAGAAAGAAAATGAAAGTCAAACAGGAGTCACGCAGGTGGATAGAACCAGACTTGTTTTTTCCTTCTGTGAGCTGAGAAAGCAGATCATTCTTTGAATTTTTTGGATATTAGCCCAGCCAGCTTCATAAACACCAAAAGAGGCTAAGAACCACATAATAACTCAGGTTTGAGAAGGGGTGATCAGCTGTCGTCACTCTGGGTCCCATGATATCGATGTTCATCCAGCTAGAAGCTTCTGGTGTGTGCTTTCTCCTGCCCCCTTCCTTAATACTCAGCTAGAGGGGACACATAAAACACAAAACTCACCCATGTCACCAGCAGCTGGAATATGCAATGGAGGACTCTCAGTTTCACAGGGTGGCCAACCGCTGCAGGGATGTGCATAATGAAAAAATGGCTGCAAATGACCCACAGAGCGACCCCCAGTGAGAACAAGCAGGCTGCTGCGAGGAACATCAGGGCCAGGGTCCACATGCTGCTTCTCACTCGGAGGGGGCTCAGAGGAAGCCGTGCACTGCATAGACACTTTAGGACATGGTTCCGAGCTGGCAGATCTCCTCCACTTATAAGTCACATCTGCCCTCCCCTACCTCCCACAAATGCTGGCCTAGCCCAGTGAGTCACAGGTTCAGGTGAGGATATGGTTCTAGGACAGGGCCCATGAAGAGAAGAAAGTGGCCCATCCAGCTGATCCAGCCAGAAAATAAAGTTCTAGAGTCCCACCTTACAACCTGGCACTGCTAACTAGCCTTGGGTAAGCCACCAAGTCACAATGGACATCACAAACACGATTCCGCCCACCAGCCTTCGGACCTCATCCCCCCACTTCCTGATTCCACTTCAGCTGCGCTTGAGGCAACCAACAATCCTACAGAGTGTGGCGTCCTATCATTATCCCCACTTGACAGATTAGGAAACTGAGGCCAAGTGCACATAACTTGCTCACGATCAGAATGCTGGCATTTGGCAGAGCCAGGATTCGAATCCAAGAGTTGCGAATGCAGGGTTTCTCAACCTCGGTACTGCCACTCGCTGGACTGCATAAGTCTGTGCATTGTGGGATGTCTGCCAATGTCCCTGGCCTCTTATCTATGGCATTCCAGCGCCAGCCCTGCCCCTTCCTGAGTGGGGACAACAAAAATGTTTCCAGCTATGGCCATATCTTCTGGGAGGTAAAATCTCCCCTGTGTGAGAACGACTGCTCTCTCACCTGAGCCCAGAGGTGGGAGACACAGCAGATATTGCTGTTGTGACCGTGGATGTGGCACTTGGTCATTAGGGAGGCTTTCCATTGGTGACATCAGCCTCTGACCTGACCTGGAAAGGTAAGCAAGCACAGTCTCCTGAATTTGCAAGAAAGAGGACAAAGCCTGTTTATTCATCCCCTCACTCCACAGGGGTTTGCTGAACACCTACAAAGTACCAAACCCAGATCCAGCCTCTGGCAGTAAAACACAACAAAAGAAAAATTTCTGTCCCCTCAGACAGTAAACAAACAAGTGAGGCAGGTGGTGATAAAGGTCACAGGGAAAAACCAAGCAGCGGGTGATGGGGAGGTGGGGGTGGGAAAGGTGGGGGGTGGGGAAGATAAGGGATGGGAAAGTTGGGGGATGGGGAAGGTGAAGGATGGGGAAGGTGGGGGTGGGAAAGGTGGGGGGTGGGGAAGATAAGGAATGGGGAAGGTGGAGGATGGGGAAGGTGGAGGTGGGAAGTGAGGGGTGGGGAAGATAAGGGATGGGGAAGGTGGGGATGGGAAAGGTGGGGAGTGGGGAAGATAAGGGATGGGGAAGGTGGAGGATGGGGAAGGTGAAGGATGAGGAAGGTGAGGGATGGGGAAGGTGGGGGATGGGGAAGGTGGGGGATGAGGAAGGTGAGGGATGGGGAAGGTGGGGGATGGGGAAGGTGGGTGTGGGGAAGGTGGGGGATGGGGAAGGTGGGGATGGGGAAGGTGGGGGGTGGGGAAGGTGGGGGGTAGTGAAAGTGGGGGGTGGGGAAGGTGAGGGATGGGAAGGTGGGGGATGGGGAAGGTGGGGGATGGGGAAGGTGAGGGATGGGAAGGTGGGGATGGGGAACGTGGTGGGTGGGGATGGTGGGGGATGGGGAAGGTGAGGGATGGAAAGGTGGGGGATGGGGAAGGTGGGGGATGAGGAAGGTGGGGAAGCAGGAAGGTAGGGGATGGTGAGGATGGGGATGGGGAAGGTGGAGAAGGGGGAAGGTGGAGGATGAGGGTTTTGTCACATTGGCTAGGCTGGTCTCTAACTCCCAGCCTCAAGTGAGTCTCCGGCCTCAGCCTCCCAAAGTGCTGGGATTACAGGCATGAGCCACCACTCCCAGTCTGTATTAGTTTCCTCTTGCTGCTATAACACATTACCACCATCTGGGTGCCTTAAAATGTATTTTCTTCCCCTTCTGGAAGTCAGAAATCTACAGTCAAGGTGTCAGCAGGAGGTCAGGCACAGTGGCTTATTCCTATAATCCCAGCGTTTTGGGAGGCTGAGGCAGGTGGATCACTTGAGGTCCAAACTTTGAGACCAGCTTGGCCAACATGGCGAGACCCAGTCTCTACTAAAAATATAAAAGTTAGCTGGGTGTGGTGGCACACACCTGTGTTCCCAGCTACTCGGGAGGCTGAGGCACGACAATCACTTGAACCCGGGAGGTGAAGGTTGCCTTGAGCCTAGATAGCGCCACCGCACTCCAGCCTGGGCCGTGGAGTGAAACCCAACAAACAAACAAACAAACAAACAAAAACAAAATAAAAAATGGTGTCCACAGCGCTGGCTTCTCTGAAGGCTCATTCTGGTTTCCTTCCCTCTTCCTGCCTCCAGAGGGCGCCTGCATTTCCTGGCTCGTGATCGATCCCTTCCGGAATCACGCTGCTCTCCTGCCTCCCTCTTAGATGGACCATTACATCAAGCCCACCCAAATCATCAGGGCCATCTCCCCCTCCCCAAATCCTTCATTTAACCACGTTTGCAAAGTCCCTTTGGCCATGTAAAGTCACATATTAATGGGTTCATGGGGAGTTGGACGGGCACACCCTTGGGGGGAGCATTATTCAGCCTATGGGGTAGGGGGTGCCTGGCCTTTTCAAGCCCCTTTGGCTTTGAGAAATAAGCATGTGAGACTTGTTTTTTCAGGTGCAGTAAAGGTGTCTGCAAGAACCGTTTACTACGTCAGTCAATGTCACCAATGTAACTCTCACCTAAAAGTCTTCGTTTTCAGGGCACCACCTGAAGACTCAGCAGAACTCTCTCCTCTCTGATGAGAATTCCATGCCTCTTGTGTGGCAGCTTTCTCCTGTCCAGGAGGCATGCATTCTCCTCTTCTTTCATTCTGTTTTCCAACTTTCAATTTCCAGCACATACAGGGTTAGGTTACATGTGGGAAATGCCCGTGGGACCTTCCCCTGGTGGGCACCACCGTTTATAACAGAGAAAGCTCCTAGTAGGTGTAGCTGCCTAATGAACACTTAACCTCTGCCTTCCAATTTATTGGAGCTCCCATACAGATATGTGACTTTGCACTAGAGATCTGGTGTGTGTGTGTGTGTGTTTTTTTTTTTTTTTTGAGACAGAGTCTCTGTCACCCAGGCTGGAGTGCAGTGGTGCGATCTCAGCTCACTGCAACCTTCACTGCAAAACCCCACGCAAAGATACCATTTCTACCCAGGCCAGGAAGAGGCAGTGGTGAGACGATGACTAGGAAGGAGGGTTAAGAAGGGGAGTTGTGTGGGGCAAGAATGAAAGCTCATGGCCGTATTCCTTAGGATAGAACTGCTGGGGGTATCTGTAGGTCCTGGGCATAATGTCGTGACCGCCAAGGAGGAGGTGTTAACAGAGTCTAAAAATGAAAAGGGTAATTGGAGCAGGACCTCGTCTGGTTCAGGACTGTAAGGAGAAAGAATGGAATGAACTCAAAAGAAACAGAGGCAGGACAGGCGGTCTCACATGGCCTGGAAGGGAGCAGTGAGGGCCAGGGCTGTGCATGGTGGCTTCTGGTGCCTCTGGCACAACTCCACAGAGTGCCACTTGCCAGGGCACTGTCATAAAACTTCAATTTTATTGCACATGCTTATTTTTCTTTCCAACTTTTATTTTAGGTTCAAGAGGTACACATGCAGGTAAATCGTGTGTCAAAGGGATTTGGTATATAGATAATTTTGTCACCCAGGTAATCAGCATCATATCCTATAGGTAGTTTTTCAATCCTTACCCTCTCTTCCCACCCTCCACCCTCAAGTAGGCCCCAGAGCCTATAGTTCCCTACTTCGTGGCCATGTGTACTCAACATTTAGCTCCCATTTGTACATGAGAACATGTGGTATTTGGTTTTCTGTTCCTGTGCTAATTTGCTTAGTATAAGGCCTCCAGCTGCACCCATATTCCTACAAAGGACATTATTTCATTCTTTTTATGGCTGCATAGTATTCCATGGTGTATTTGTACCACATTTTCCTTATCCAGTTCACTGCTAGTGGGCATCTAGGTTGCTTCCATGTCTTTGCCCCAGGCAGAGGATATCTTGAGCTCAGGAGTTCGAGACCACCCTGGGCAACATGGCAAAACTTGTCTCTATAAAAAATACAAAAATTAGCTGGGCATGATAGAGCACACCTGTAGTTCAGCTATTCAGGAGGCTGGGGTGGGAGGATCACCTGAGCCCAGGAAATCCAGGCTGCAGTGAGCCAAGATGGTGCCACTGCATTCCAGCCTGGGTGACAGAGCCAGACCTGCCAAAATAAAAAAAAATAAAAAAAGAAATAGAGTTGTTGAAATATTTTTTCCATTTCTGATACAGTAATATAAGTGCTTTTTTCAAAAAAGTTTTCAGTAACAATATCTACTGGTAGCTCAGTAACTGCGGTATTTCAAAGTAACAATGAGTATAAAAGGTGCTTTGTAATATCTGCTACAACTGAAATACGATATGAAAATATCTGTGATTTCCACTGGTGATAAAGTCTACATATAGGCAATATTACTGTGACTCATGGCCAACATTTATACCAGAAAGAAACTAAATTTCCTATTAGAGGTGCTGAAAATAACAATGTGATTTCTTTTCCCACCCAAGTTCATGCACTCCTTAACTATTATCCATTGAATCCAGGTTTGAAGATATAATCGTTTTGTTGAAATTATCTGAACTACACAAGAAATTCTTCATGTTTATGAAAGATGAAAGATCATGTTAGTTTCATGTACTTGGCAAATGGAAGTTTTCCCACTATACACTAGAGAAATGACACCTACCCTCCGCTCCCCAAATGAAATACAAGTCCACTTCCTCCTGTATCCACAAGCTGTTTAGTAGCTTGACACATTCAGACTCTCGCAACCAATTCAGAATTTGAAAGGCAATAAAATAAAAACATATTAGAAAACACAATTACTGGGCTCTCTTTAGCTATTTCACATTGTAGCTATATAAATCCAGAACAGATTAAATATCTTTAATGGATTCCTCCCAATATTCTGAAATAGAACTTGATCAAGAAGAACTATATTAAAAAAAAAAAAAACTCCACAAGGTAATCAGAGTGATAGGGAAGAAGGGAAAAGAAGGTAATATTTAATGTGAATCTGCAATATATAAGGCTTTTTGCATACTTATTTTACTTTATTCTCAAAAATACTCTGTAATTCAACATTCCTTTATGATAAAACTTTTAAACTGAGAGTAGAAGGAATCTTCCTTAATCCGTTAGAGAGTGCCTACAGGAAGCATCATAGTTAGTGTTAAAATATTGGAAGCTTTTTTCTGAAATCTAGAATAAAACAGGGATGCCCACTATCACCACATCTATTTAACATTGTACTAGAAGTCCTAGCCAGTGCAATAAGACAAGAAAAAAAGTAATAAAAAGCTTAAGAACTGGAAATAAAGGAATAAAACTGTCATTATCCAGTGTGGACATGATTGCATATATAGAAAACCCAAACAACCTACAGAAAAACAAGTAGTAAATGAATACAAGAAGGCTAATGAGTATAAGATCAATATACAAAAATAAATCTTATTTCTATATTCCAGCTTCAAATGAATAGATAATGAAAATTTTTAAAAGACATCAGAGATTGGTGACTTACAAGTGCTGGGAATGGAGGAAGTGGCTGACCTCAGAAGGATAAATGAGGGTATTATTTTAGATGATGGAGTTATTCTATACCTTGATTGTAGTGGTGGTTATACAACTATATGCATTTTGTCAAAACTTATAGAGTTGCACACCAAAACTTATACAGTTGCACACCAAAATTTTACTGTTGTAAACATAAAATGTGAATTCATATAATCAAAACTATATTTATAATATCATTTCAAACCCCAAATAGCTAGGAACTAATTGAAAAATGTTTGGGATCTCTATATTGAAAACTATGAAACATTATTGAGAGAAATTAAAGAACACTAAAATACATGAAGAATACCATTTTCATAGATTGGAAGACTTGATAATGAAAAATATAAATTCTCCCCAATTTGATC